CTTTGGGGAAGTCCATAATGGAGGTTGGGTGGTGTTGATGGTTAAGTGGTCAAAGTTCAAAAGGTCAGATGAAGAAACCAAAACTCACCTTTATGATGAGCCACTCAAGGAGACAATGAAGTGCCGGTTATATTTTGACTCTGAGCATATCATTTTGTCTGCTGTTATGGAGGGAGTTATTGACCTTATTCTGTTATGTCTAATTTGTCTAACTTTATCTTTTACCTATCAACTGTGCAGTTTGTCATGTATTGTTGAAATAAGTACATTTTTCTCAATGTGAGAAATTTTTTCTCAATCAGTTACTCACCCTCATGTCATTTCAAACCCTTTTTTTTATTTATTTTTCTTATTTTCATTTTGTTGACAATAAACAAACCAGAATGAGAACATGAAAACACGAATGAAATCAACTCCCCACCTACCAATCCCTCCCTCCCCTCCCACCCCACCCAGCAACCCCGCGGTCTCTTTGCAATGGGGTACATAATGGATAGATAAGTTAACAAAAACAAAGCCACAAGAAAGATAAAACATGAATTAAGAAAACAAAACAAGAAGAGGGATAAAGTGTTAGGGTATTCAATCGGAGTCCTGATCATTGCTTTGCGCAATATAATTGGAGATCTTCTCAGGAGCTATAGTCCGTATTTTTAATGTTGAGATTTGTGCCGAGTTCACCCGAGCTGTGGATATTTCCAACATTATAATGTCCTGAAGTTGAATCAACCACATGAATATATCAGTGTATATACAGTGTTGAGCTATCAGTTTTTTTTGCAGACGTTAAACCGGCCAGCCTGACAATTTTTTGCAGTTTAGAGAAATCAAACTGAGAATCATCATTCAGTAATAATACAGATGGGATCACCGGTATAGGATATTCAATGATTTTCGATAAGGTAGCACATACCTCATTCCAATTTTTTTTTTTTTTTTTACCTTTTCACATTCCCACATCATATGGAAAAAGGATGGTCAGGAAGTCAGGAAGTTGTTGGTCAGGACATTTATCACAGAAGGGTCTAAAGGAGGAGTCAATACGACTTTTTTCATCTTTGAAACATGGATGATGAGATTTCTGTCCCTCTACTGAATGCTCATTTTCCCAAAACTTTGATGCTTCAGAAAGTTAAAAAAGACTTTGTAAACCTATTCCATATGAACCGAGCGTTTTCTGAAGAGACACTTAGGCTTTTATTCACATATAAACATTGATCAACGCACATACATAGAGCACATCAAATACGGTAAACGGAAGCTCAACCTGTACATGCTTGACACATGAGAACAAACATAATTGGTTCTCACATGTCAAGCACGTTTGAGCTTCCTTGGATTAAACCACTCGATTCATATGGATAATATTATATTTACAATGTCTTTTTGAAACATTAGAGTTGTGGTGGAATTGACTTTCAATGGAGGGACAGAAATCTCTCAGGTTTCATTAAAATATCTTCATTTGTGTTTCAAAGACGAACTAAAGTCTTATGGGTTGTGTTTGGAACAACATCAAGGTGAATTATTGATGACAGAATTTACATTTTTGGGTGAACTAACCCTTTAAATAAAAAAGTTCCAATGTTATCTTAATGTGGTCCAAACCAAACAATGCAACAGAGATGTGGACACTGCTGTTTCAGATTACGTTGAGTTCATGGGAAAACAAGTGGCACACTGTGGTGTCCTGTGTGTGGGAATGCTTACTAAAAGCATTGTAACTAATTATGTATGATCTGCACACATCAAAATATACTGTAGGCCAAATAGCTCACATCAGTTTATTATACAGAGGCCACAAATAGACTAAAGTGCAATGTGCAGCAAAACGGTTTTGGGTTCAACCCTTCATTAGTGCCTTGTGCTTCCAAGCATCCACCTGCACAAATTTACAAGCTTATTACCGTAATCATTATAATACATCGCAGACGGACTTCGCCACAAACATTACAACTACACAAAAATACACACATACTACATTCAAAACATTTTAAAATTCTAAAAGCGTAACCATAGAAATTCTTGTTATACATTGATTAATCTCATAATTTAAATCTCAATATAAGTGTTTTATTACAATATACATTTCCAATACCACTTGATTAAACGCTGACATTCAATTTATATTAAATATTTAGATATATAAATTAAATATAAATTCAATTGTTTTTGTATGTCAGTGTTTAATCAAGTGGTATTGGAAATTTATATTGTAATAAATAGACATGGTTAAAAATGCATGTGAATGTCAATAAATAAGCATTCACAAAAAACAATTAGGAATTAATTCTTCATGCCTAAAGAAAACATGCATCTAAGGTCAAAAATCCTTTTACATTGTCTCTGTAGAAGTCTTCGTTCCATATTCCCACCTCTACGAGACTGTGTTATTTGCTCTATAGTTTCAAAGTTCAATTCAGAGACTGAGTGCGACATTAACTAAAGTGACGAGCAATGGGACAATTCTGGTCTTTTTTTCTTATTGGACTTGTGTTCAATAATACGTGTCCTAATTTGTCTATTTGTCTCGGCCACATATTGTTTTTCGCACGAACAAGACAACAAATAGATTGCATTAGTAGAAGTGCATGTAACGTATATTTTTTTACATGCCAGCCGGTTTTGGATCTACGCACCTAAAGCCTTTTTTTCATTAACTTCTCCTGGACGAGTATTTGGTGCTCAGCGATTTCTTTTTTTCGAACTGTGCGCGCACATGCACAAATCATTGTGCATCCTATTTCACATTTCTTGAGTGTGTGTGTAAAAACGTGTAAAAAAAAAAACTGCACACATTCACATATGTGAATGTTGTATAATCCCTAGCATGTTAGAGCACATTGGGACCGGAGGTAAGCCGGATAAACAAAATAGTAATTGAAAGCAGAGTTGAGCTAATGCATGTAACACGCATACAACCAAATCTGATCTCTATCCAGTTTATACACCAAACACCCCACCAACACAATGCAGACCGTGTTTTTCGAATGAGCAAGGCAACATGCCTGACTGTCTTTTTGGCCAGTCCCTAGAGTTTCCATTTCAAAATCATAATGAATCGCTAATTGAAGCATATTCATGATAGGGGAAACTTTAACTGCTTTTGGCTTGCCTTTTTGATCTAAAGGATCAGGACACTGACAGAGCGTAGCTATCCAACATTGAAAAGAGTTTATGTATATGTGTGTGTGTGTTTGGAAGAAAGTGGAAGTATGACTAAACCTTCCCAAATTTACTCAAGTAAATGCTGCTTCCTAGCTGAGAAAAATTGTTCTTGTTTCAGTGAAGGAAACCTTGATCGCATTAAAAGGTCATTAGTGAAACTGATTAGCAAATCTCTGTCCTAGGTTGAGAAATGTTGGCTTGCAGCATACACATAATGCTATTTTGATCGACGTATTCTGAATTTCTGTAATTAATTAATTATTTAAAGGGGGATCGTTTTCCCAAAAAGGAATATTCTGGCATCTTCTGTGCAACATACAGTCAAATAAGATATTTTGAAGAATGTTTCAACTGTTTCAACTCTGGACCCTCATGAGTTTGATTGCATGATGAAAAACATGCATTTTTCTAAATATCTTATTTGCATTCTATTGGTTTGGAATGCCAATAGAATGCCAATAGAATCTTAATTTTTGGGAGAACTGTCCCTTTAAGGAAATTCATGGTGCAGCAAAACCTTCATACTCACAACATTTCTTTTAAAGTCTTTTGAAGGGGTCATATAATGGTACATGCACTTTTACAAGTTGATTGTACTGAAATGTGTGTTGGCAGTGCCTGTACACAACCATCATATAATGATAAAAATCCATCCAGTGTTTTTGTTTTAATCTCCTTATATGTTTTCCCCTGCCTCAAATTGAGCCGTTCGTTTTTGTGACGTCAATAAAACGGACGCCCCTCCCACGATTGTTGATTGACAGCAGTGTTTCAACACAGACCCGCCCTGAGCGAGATGTCATCATAGTCCGTCATTGTTGATACACTAGAGCAGAATGGCGTCTAAGCGATTGTGGTGTTCTGTTCTTGGGTGTAATAACGAACAGTCATTTTGATGTTCCTAAATCCAAACCGCTGAAGACACAGTGGCTGAGTTTTGTTTTCGAAAGGAATATTCCCCACGAGCAACGTCAATGCTTTCATGTTTGCGCGAATCATTTCTCACCAGACTGCTTTATAAACGGGTCAGTATAAAGCTGGTTTTGCTAAGAAGCTGCTCCTGAAAAAGGAATCGGTAGCAACTATTTATGTTCCCTCTGCACCTCCAGAAGAAGTAAGTGTAAGGTTTTATTAAACTTTATATTAATCTTTGCAAATCGCGAAAAAAAGTTTTTCATGACAATTAGTTGTAACGTCAATCTGTCAATGAACTAACTAACGTATACATCAGTAAACGCATAGCGTTTGTATCTCACTACTCTACCCAGCCAGTGCATACAAAAATAGATCAAAGTGACATTACGTTAACCAACCATTCAGAAACGTCCTGTTCGAGCCTTAATTGTCGAACTTCTTCGGGGCCGTCATCTTGTTCCGGGTGCGACTCCGGTTCAAACTGATACGGTTGCACAGATATGTCCTCAGAGACTCAACTGTTGTCAAGGCAACACTCCACATGTGTTGTCAAAACGCCCCACAGAACAGAGGGGCGGAGTGAGCGAAGCTCATTATCATTTAAAGGCATATGCACTGAAACGGCATGCTGAAAACAGAGCTGTTTTTGACCAGTTATAATGAGTGTTTTCTTAAAATACTAATGAGAATTTTGAATAAAAGTATATTACAACGTTTTCATTTAGACCCTAAACATTCATATTAACTTGTACAAAAATGGCAAAAATGGCTTTAAAACAGATGAATTGATAAAAAATAATAATGTGGTTGGATAAATTGTTTATAATACACAGCAGAGTTCCATAAAAAAATATAAGAATAGTCCATTTTGATTTCATGCTAATTTGAAGTACTTTTTTTTATCATCTCTAATCCAGTACTTCACTGAATACGGCCCAGATTATTCCCTGGAGATCAGCCCGAGCTGCCGACCCGACCGCAACGAGAGCCAGCATCTGGAGCGGGTCATCAGCACCATCAAAGGTAATTGCCATGACAACAACCAAAACCTCATCATACACAACACCGGACCCGAATATCACCCTTTCTCCACACTTAATCCAATACCATTTCCACAGATGGAATTACTTTTGTCCATTTCAAAGCTGGTTAAAATAGTCAAAGTAATGGTCTGTTTATTTAGAAAACCATTGATGATAGATATGATGGTGTGTCAGTCATTCATTCATTCATTCATCCAGCTGTCTCTCTAGCCTCTGCAAGAACTTTGCGTCCCACCCCCCACGAGTGACCAGGGAGACCTTTAAACAAACCACAGTTGTCCCCTGTGACTGGCTCTCCTCAGCTGTAGAAAAGAGAAACATGTCTGTTTGATGTTCCCAGTCATCAGTAAACAAATAAGCAAAGCATTCTTAGGAACTTGAAACTGAAGTCTCAGGAGAGAGGCTGGGATGAGAATGAGAACAGACTAAACTAGGAACATTTGCACACATGTACGTGCAGGGCTCCCAGACACGCACTTATCCAAACTTTTATGAGATGTTCCTTGACAAAGTGTCTGGTTAATCCCTTTGTTCACACAAGGTTTTGTTTTAATGTTCTTCCTATAAGTACAAGTTATCACTTAGTGTATTTTTATTGTGCAATTGTGCTAAACTCTGTGCCCGTTTGTGTGTGTGCGCGCGCATATTCGTGTTTATTTTCGAGGTTTCAGCAAACTCTTGCCTTTTCACCTTCAGGGACAAAAGTCTTAAGACTCAAAACATGTTTCAAAGCTATGTTGAGAACATTTCAAATGCCCCTTGGATGTAATAAAATAAAGTTTTTTCCTCTTGAGCTCATTCAAACATCTGTGTGAATGGGTAAAAATCTGGCAGTGAAAAGGGAAAAGCTGTGTTCAGAATTTTAACACATTGGCATTGTTTGTGAATAAGAAGAAATGTAATTTAGAGAAGCCAAAAAGGACGAAAGAAGATATTTTGAAGAATGTTTCAACTGTTTTAGGCCATACAGTGAAAGCCAAAGACAACATCGGACCCTCTGATTTTCATAGTATGGACAATCTTCTTTTGTGTTCATGGGTAAACGATGATAGAATGTTCATTTTTGATGAACTTTCCTTTTTAAAGGAATAAGTGTCCCTCTCGTGTTTATGAGAGAGACGTGAGTGACGGTTTGTGTTCTTAACACCTCACTCCTTATGGGATGAAGTTGACCTGTTTAACCACCCTTGACTTGTGTTCAACCCATGGGTTTTAATGTGTCAGTACTCCTAGTCACATCTGCTCCACCTTAGCTTCAGTCTACGTGGTGTTTCAACTATGACTAAACATTTCTTATTGATCTTATCGCTCCGGCCCCTGCTCTGGCTAACGTCTTCTCCACTTTTCTCTTCTTGACAAAAGGCATCAGATCTTTGCTGCTGACCTAAAGGTCCCTCAGAGGTCACGACCACGTCACCGTAAGAGAAGCAAGTACAGTCTGACACCTTCAGTTCAGCTTAGTTAGAATCACACTTGGTTAGAACCCCATTTGTTGCTTTACACATTAGCCCCCTTTCACAAATACAGTCTTTACTGGTAAATTACCATTTAGAGATCATGGGCCCTATCTTGCACCTGGCGCAAATGACTTTGTACACTGACGCATGTATCATTCCTATTTTGCACCCGCGCAAAGCGGACTTTTCCCTCCACAGACACACGTCGGTTAACTAAGAAATACACTTGCGCTCCCCGGGGCGGTTCAGCGCAAAGAGGAGGCGTGTTCCGGCGCAAACTTTTCCTCATGCTATTTTGCTGTTCTATAAAACAATTGCGCCACTGACCAGAAAAAACCTAGTCTAAAGTCAGTGGCGCGTTGCGCGTTGTTCATAATGCTATTTCAAGCGTGCATGCTTGACCATAATGTATAGCGTGCACAATGCGCATACACTTTGCTCATGTAATCTACACAGATGCAACAGTTATTTTTGCTAATCATACATTATAACAAGGAAAAATATTAACACATGAGGGAAATCATTGTGGTGTCCATGAAGATGTAAAAAATTTAGGTTTTTTCCTCCCACGCCTGTTTAACCGACGCTGATTTGGGTGGGTTTCTCCCATCCCCATACAACGTCACTTCTCTGTCTTTCACGGTCCTGACAAGAACGTCGGTCTCCTCGGTTGTGAACCGCTCCTACCGCGCGCTTGGTAAATCCGCCGTTATAATAGCAATCCGCCATGGAACATGCGCACCTGCTCTTAAAGGGTATGTTGGATGACGCTCTGATTGGTTTATTTCACGTTACGCCCAAACCACACCTATGAATAATGAAGCTACTTCAGACCAACCCCTTTTAGATTTGCGCCAGGCGCAAGAGGCATTTATCCCGCCGGGAAAATAGCAACAGCGCCGGGATCCGCCCACAAAGTTACTTGCGCTTTGCGCTTTGACACTTGCGTTTCAGATCGTTAAAATAGGGCCCCATGTGTGAATAGGCCATTTTCAAAAATACCGGTGAATCAGTTCTGTAAATTTTCCGTGATAGAAAGTTAAATTAATGGTATGATGCTATGTATGAGGAAAGAACAGGATTACCGGTACAAGATTAGAACGCACTGATGTAAGAGATTTGCTAAGATGTAAAGCTCTGTTGGAGCTGTTTACAGTAAGCTCCGCTGCTTTTAATTTTTTTTCTGTGTAAACATGCACTGAACGGACTTCTGACCATTGCACCACGTCTCGCGCTGAAGACCCTGCCTTATTTTCCATTCATCAGCGATGCAGGTCTGCAGTTATATTTTTCATACTGTAGCCTATAACAACTGTATTATAACTACAATATTTAGTTTTTTTAAGAGCAAATCTGCATTGTTTGATCATCCTCTTAAGACTTGCGTGCTCCACTGTGCATGAATTAGATTGCAAACCATTGCTCACGGGCAATATCCAGTCAATTAAATATGAATGCGCATGATTGGGAGCGCGAAAAAGTTCCCCACGCAGATTTCACTGGTGTAAAAGCTGGTCTCCCGAATTCGCCTCATTCAAACCAAGCATCTTTCTGTTGGTCAAAGTGACTTCTGTATAAGCTGTGCTTCATGCATCACTACACTATTGACAATAGACAGTGGACCTTTTTCCCAATGACATTTTACTGAAATGTCACTGTGACCAAACATTAAGTGTGAAAGAGATTTAAAAGCTATGGCACAGGGGAATATTGTCTGTGTATGTCAACTCAGACTTCAGTCCTTTAACACTAAATAATTGATATCAGTTTTCAGAAGATTTATTCGTAAGAAAGCATCACTTGTACTCCTTTTACTTCAGCATTGTTTATTTATATTTGCAATATGGGTGTTCTGTCTATTTCTTAAACAGTATGGGACAAACATGCTTATTTTCTGCGCCCATGCGGTATGTGTAGCATGTGCTACGTGTTTGCTCTGTCCCGCAGCTCTAATTAAAAAGGGCTTAAGGCGCAGACTGCTCAACTTCCATTTTAAGGTTTCCACCCATCTCTTAAGACCGCTCTATGCCAAGCTATCACACATGAGCACAGATTCCAGATCAGTTTGACTTTTAAGATCTTCTGCTTACAGAGGGTCACTCGAGAACGAAATATTGTACTGAGGTCAGCTTTCGAGATGACCTTAATGGAGCTACGTTAAGTGTACTGTGCTGCACGCAACACATCACATCCTCAGTTTTATGAGAATGGACAAACTCCTCTACTTAGATTCTGTATGGCTTCTTTAGGTTAACCAATGTGTTTATATTGGCATATTTTACTTTACAGTAGCATCTGTTCTGCCATGTTGAAACAGGATTTACGTGTGGTGTGTGAAATGCGCTATGCAAAACCTCTAACTATGTCTCAGATATAATTGTTTTTGGGTGTTTTTAGTTTAAAATGCATTTTGATGGAGCGATTATCTGTCTGTCATTTTACTTGTACGTGGCAAATCTTATGTAATATACCCAGAGTAGATTCCTGCAATTGAATGAGTACAAAAGACAAGCATCTATGCTGCAAGAGTTCAAAAGATTGGGGTCAGTAAAATTTGTTTGAAAGAAATTCATTCTTTAATTCAGTTAGGATGCATTTAATTCATTAAAAGTGACTTTTACATTGTTCTAATTTTTTTTTTTATATCTGTTTCAAATAAATGCTGTTCTTTAAGAATCCTGAAAAAAATAAATCACCGTTTCCACCAAAATTTTAAGCAGCACAACCATTTTCAACATTGATAATAATAAGAAATGTTTCTTGAGCAGCCATGATTTCAGAAGGATCATGTGACACTGAAGACTGGAGTAATGATTCTGAAAATTCAGCTTTGCCATCACAGGAATAAGTTACATTTTAAAATGTATTAAAATTCAATGACGCTTAAATGTGCCAGGTAACTGTGGTGTTATACTTGGCATGTGAATGGGTGTAGACTGGCATTATTGGCTGGCATGCCACTTATTTTGTTATTAGATAGTCAGTGGAGCACATTGGTCAATTGAAGTCAAACGGTTGGGATTATATTTGGAGGAAGTAATTGTTTGTGATGAGATTTTATTAGGCACTAAATTACACCACAAGTGCAGGGTTTTCTAAAGTCTCCCCTGTCGTTTTTCAACAAGCTTGCACACCCCCATGTTCCTCAGCTTTCAAATGAGTAGCTCACATCAATTAAACCGTTTAATTAGCCATTTTCTGTTGTGCTCTCTGGTTGTTTACGGTCTTATGTCACGTAAGCATTGCGTTTATGAGGGAAAGGAAATTGTGCGGATGAGGGGAAGTGAGTGAGTGCCAACCTGTGTGAGTGAGGAGAGGCACCTGAGGTCTGTGTCTGACCTTCCCAAACATGCGCTGTTCTGATAATACGCGCAACCATTTCTCTGTGAAGAACTGTGATTGATTAACGCAGGTAATAAATAGAGAGGCTCGCAGTTGTTACACATTACCGGAGTTTGCAAGCACATCTGGGTAACATTTACGACACTCAGCCTTGCGTTATAAAACGCTGAGAGAAAAAGGAGCAAAAATGTGTAAACACCATACATGGCTGTTCTGATGAGCAAATACTGCAGAGTTTATCCATCTCAGCTTGAAAGCCATATAATTTTAAACAGTGGGTGTTAATAGAGACCGTACGGTTTGTGAACATTGTAGGCAACTACAAACAAGCTGGACATTTTTTGTTGATTCCATCCCTGAAAACAATCAATATTTGAAAAGAACATGCAAATGTAGGCCAGAAAGATGTAGACAGGCAGTCATCGGACAGCTGCTAAATGCTGAATGTACTTGCGTTCATAAACATTTACGGTTTCCTTAATGTGAAACCGCTCGAGTTTTAGGATAGGAAAAGCTTGCTCATTTCAAATCAGAAAATTAGTTCCAAGGGCCTCGGGAACCACAACCTTCAAAGTTAAAGGAACATGTTGTGCATAAAAATAGTGTTAAAAAAAAGGTCTCTGTAAATGTATGGCTTCCGATTAAATCTCTCAAAATGAAGAAACACTTTTTTTTTAATGCAGTTTTGAAAGAGCCACAACGTTTCGTGACAAATCGCGGCCTTAGCATTTCTTGAATGCTTCTCTGCTTCAACAGTTAATGCAAATTTAAAGGATGTGATTTTATAAAACATTGTGAGATTAAATGACGTTTTTGTCTTGATTAAAAAGCTTGCCTTGTACAGTATGGATTCCTATTGATTTCTTTTTAAAACCAGGATTTCCTTTAGTGCCTTAAATTCAAATTCATTAGCAAGCCATAATGTTATCAAAACACCAGCTGGTGAGAACAAAAAGGGACGTCCTGTTTCAGCTCAACTGTATAGTGTTTGTGTGAGTGGAAGGCACAATTCCAATGCAAATTGCGGTTTGTAAATCCATGTAAATTGATTTAGATTGGAAAAAAAAAAAATATTTGAATAACTTGTGCTTCCTCAAAAGACGTCATAGGAAATCCTGTTTTTTCCTGATTGGCAACCTCTCTGCTTTGTTATGATTCATGTCATTGTGCCATTTGGTTCTTTGTACAGATGTTCTGGTGGACACCCCAGATTTTTGTAGATATTTAGGTTTGACACTGATTTCATCTGTATATCTTTTGATTTCATTACACCACTTGTCTCCATCACTGTATGAATATTTCTCAATAGGTTTTCTGAAATTCATTTTGACCCATTTTTTTATTTGTCTTTACCCCTCTCTATCTCCTCCCCTGCTTGTTTACAGGGAATCTGAAGAATGTAGTTTAGGAGTGGGCTCCCAGCTCATGTTTCCAAATCAGGCCCTGCTCCTCTAATGAAGACAGTATGTCGGAGCCATCGCCAGAAGGGAGTTTGGAAAACATTACTTGAATGTTTCCAGGGAACATTTTTTAAAATGCAGAGATGGACCAGTGTTGCCACATTTGAACGGTTTTAGTCAAAGTTGGATCTGGGGAAAATGTGTGTATTTTTTAACAAAAATCCAAAGCCATTTTCAGATGAAACAAAGCGTGAATACAACACGTTGTGAGTGCGATATGTAAAAAAAAAAAAAAAAAAAAATGTTTTTTTTTTGTCCCCCTTTTTGTTTTTAACTATCTGGGATCATTTGTAAATGAGAAATAATAAAATGCAAAAAAAAAAATCTGATGATGGTGTCTTGTCAAAAATGCATCCCAAAAACATGTCTAACCAAACGGAATGGACATGGCATGTCACTCTTTATGGTTTGGCTACATCCTCCTTAATGAAACCATCCTATACCTTAACTGCAATATCTTGTCCAGTTATGGATTGGATAAATCAACTTTAATGGGCAGACTGACCAGTTACGTTGGCTTCATTCATTCATGTTTTGTTTTACTTGTACGCTTTTACCACGTTTATTTTCTTGTGTTTTATGAGTGAGCAAAAATGTTTTCAAGCTGTCTATCAACTTTTGATTTTTGTATAAATGATTTTTTCAATTATATATTAAAATAGAAAAAAAGTAATTGTGTGGGTTTTTTTATTTATTTTTTATGTTTTTCTTCCAGTGAGTGTTGTCCTTGTGTTTCAGTGGGGGCTGCCACATGTGGAAGTCCTGCTCTTTTCAGTATGATCTTTATAGATTCTTGGTTGCAGAGTTTTCTCTGAATGGCACACCAAGTGTGATTCATTAAGTCCTTTATTAGCTTTGAAAGATGGGGCTTATTGCATTTTAGTCCAATAAACAGATCCATGCTACCAAAAGAGTGCCGTAAAACTTGCAGAATTAGGTGGAGAGACGGGACTGATTTTCAACGGCTCACCCTATTAAAACCCTAATGTGTGTAGAACCAAACAGTCTACTCAGTGATACATGACTATTCATTTTTCCTCTGCGCTTTCTGAAGCATGTTGTTTTGAAAAACTAAACCGGATTGAATACAATTCTTTTGTTTGCAGCGAAAAAGAAACGTGACACCCTTATATCCTGTTGAATTATTTTTAATAGTTTAAAATATGCATATTGAATACTTGCAGCTGTGTTTTGTTCTAATTTTTTTGGTCAATGACATACTAATTTTATTCATTTATTTTTTTAGGTTATTCAAATCCATAAAAAAGCAATACATACTCACAATGACCAGAGTACATTTTCTATGAATGTTTTCAATTTCTAAAGTAAAAATTGATCAAATTCAAGTCTTATTAAAAGTAGAAAATTATTACTTATAAATTAACCAGTTTTGTTTTAAAATATTAATATCTGAAATGGCCTACTACATAAAGGTGTTGTGCACTCAATATTTTCTTTTTTACATCTCAGTCACCTTATGTCATTGAGCCCTATAAACTGCCTGAAATAAGGTTAGCACATAGGCTATTGTTGATCGGACTGGTTGACGTTCGTAAAGCCTATACTGACACCTGCTCATCTAGTTTTATGTTTGACATCACAACGAATTTTATGCAAAGTGTTCATCTGTCGACGTTGTCAACCGTTCACTCAGTCTGATCTTCTATTCACCCCATTAAGCACAAGCAGATTGTGTCAGTTCTGGACTGAAATGAAGTATTTGAGGAGTGTGTGGCCCATTACTCTATACAAAAGTAGCCTTTATGACATTCGTTCTTGAGTTGTGGCAAACAAAGGGAATGTCAAAACCGTTTGTCCTCATTTGCATAACGTTTCCCACAGGAGAAGAGCACATCCCTGCTCCTTTACCCGCCACTTCCCTCCTAATCTACATGTGAAGTGTCTTCATGAATGACGACAGATGCGGTCTTTAAACCCGTTAAAACGGAAAAGAAAGCAGCCGTTTGGCGTCTGCTCTCGTCAATATTGAGACGAGCAGCTCAAGTTTTTCTCATTCTGTGAAGATTGAAAAATGTGACAAGTTTCTAGGGGAAATTATCAAAAAGAACTTTACTTTGAAGAGAAAAAAAAAACTATTTATGGTTTTATTTCCATATTCTGTTTAGAGTACCTGTACGACTCAGGGTTAATTGTCCCAGCGATGTTGTTTTATTACTGCCTGTCTTGTGTCTATGACAATTATTAAGTGGGCTATTATGGGCAACAGTGTGTGCGAATAGTGAGTGAGCATCTGCCTGCCCTGCCCACGCACTTTAGCAGGGTGAAAAGAAAACATGGAGAATACTCCAGTCTGGCACACGGAGCCCATATTAATCGGCATCACTTCGATGCCAAATGAAACGCATCATGTTTCCATGATGATTCTAAACAAAGCATATTATTGACATTAAAAAAAATACCACTATGTTAATACAAATAAACAGGCTTATTCGTCACAGCAAAGCTTAACATCATTTTGCTTCAAAGTCACGGACTATGGTGCCAGTACAGTGAAGAAAAGCAGAAAAATACTGTTTTCGAACAATATGAGGGTGCGTTAATGGTGACAGAATATTAATTTTGGAGTCATTTAAACTTTCAAATGCTGTAATTTTAAATGATCGGTTTATACTTGACCCGTCGTCGTCTTTTCTCAGTCCGCTTCCGCAGATGCTCCATCCCATGTTTGTGAGCGGACTCGGATCCCTCTTGAGAGCGTCGAGTGTGTGTATTTAGGCTAATGCCTTTGATTCAGTAACAGTTCATTGAGGGTGCTCTCCTCTCCTGCAGCAGGACTGGAAACATTTCTCTAACTTCACGTCCAGCGTCGACCTCGCAACTGTTCTTGCCAAATACAGCAGTGACTTATTTCAACAGCTTTGTTTTCATGCAGTACCATTTTAATGCATATATAGTCATTATTACAAATTATAAAAAAAAAGAAAAAAAAGTTGGTCTTTCGTCAAACTGGATTCGCAACACGAAGGCAAGTTGACAGTTACTCGTATAAAGGTACGTAATTATATTAAAAAAATAGTAAATTAAGAAATTATTTTATTTAGTTATTTATTTTTACATCTCAATTGTGCAAATTGGACTCATTCCAAATAACTTTTAAATTATCCCAATGTGTACGGTTTAAATAACGCACGGAGACAAGTTCATAATTATTCTGAAAGATTTTGATAAAAGTAACTTCATCATTTTTGTTTCTACTGTTATCTACATTTTCCACACTCGTTAATGAATATTAAAAATGGATATATGACGCAACACATTATCGCACTGTTTTCGCTCTAAGCCAGTTAGTGGTTGTAAACCATGCTGTTTAAATCAGTTGAATACATTTGACCAACTAATGTCCTAATCTTGTTTTGACTGTTTAACTGACACCAACCCACAACATCTCATTGGCCAGTGATAGAGTTATCTGTAGTTCACCAGACAGATTGTGACATAAATTATGCTGTGGAAAATGGTTATATTTGTATGACAACTTTTTAAATAATGTATTCTTAAATGTAACTATCAACTCTTTACTGAGGCTTTTTCACAGGATGCATTGAATATTTCACCATGCAGTCAAATACTGAAGTTAGGCTTTGCATATAACCGCAAAGTTCGGTTTTACATTTGTCTTGGTCTAATTAAGTTTTAGGCTTCATCGTGTTGTATGTGACTGCTTCCAGGCCATGAATAATGAATACAATGAGCTAAACACAAAGATCTGGAGATGAATGCCCTACAGCTGTCAATGTCTGGAAGAGGCGCTGAGACGAGCCTGTGTGTTGCTCATTGCTGGAGGTCCATTGCAGCTGCATGCCAGCTTTCAGCAATTATGCCTTCCCTCAAAGGAATGGCTGGGATTGAGAAGAGCGGAGCAGCACATATGATTAAGTGCCTCATTACTTGTCCTCCGTGTGTAAGAGCACATGTGAGACGCATGAGGATATGAAGTCAAAGGGCGCTGTCACGTACTCCATAATTAACCCCACATATGAGTGGATTATGAATGGCTCATCTCTACAAATGGTCTTGGAAAGTCATATGACTTGCTGCCCTTCTGAGCTATTGATAAACTCTTGCCTTGTGATCTCAGTTAATGGCATAGTTAAACTAAAATCCAGCCTTATAATGTTTTTTTTTTTTTTAAGCTTCAGACTGAATTCGTCCAGTTAGAGGATATCAGACATGTTTGATATTTTGAGTTGATTTTAAACCCCATATTGTCATCATCAGTCTCCTAGTGACGAGGCACATATTTCTGCATGTGTTCAGAATGACTTGAAAGTCTGGGTAGTAGTATGTGACCCTTAGTCAGAACTCTTTTTCTTTTTCTTTTTCTTTTTTGGTCAACCGAACCCCTTAGAAGTCAAATTTGTACTTTAAGTACCTTTATTAGCTTTTCATCAACTCATGAACTCCCTGCAGTTCCCTCATGAACAACCCCAGTTTTTCCTCTGGAACCATTTTCAAAGTGTATGATGCCTATTTTAAAATCTATGTAGTGTATTCCAGCAGTCGTTCCAAACCTGTATAACTAACTTTCTACCGTGGAACACAAAAGAAGATATTTTTACTAGACTTTCATGTTGTCGTCATCTTTTCCTTCAGGTGTGTCCATCTAAAGAGCCTGCTGTGTTCTCACCATGAAAGACCGTGACTCTCTCTCCCTCCTGCACTACTCCGGTTCAGGCAAGACGAGCCCTCAGTTTGCTTCCTCTGCTCTCCATCCCAGCTCCCCTGTGTTGGGAAAGCCCCAGCCTTTCTGCCTGCAGTCCGGCCAGCATCTCATAGCCTCCATGCAGCTCCAGAAACTCAACAGCCACTATCAGAATCTGTCCTCTGCAGCTACAACCGGACCCGGCCGGGGGTACGGAGCCACCATGCTGGGCACAGGACAGATTGCCACCCCTGGTGCGGCACAGGCACCCGGGATCATTGATTCTGATCCGGTCGATGAGGAAGTTCTGATGTCGCTAGTGGTGGAGCTGGGTTTGGACCGTGCCAATGAGCTTCCGGAGCTATGGCTGGGTCAGAATGAGTTCGACTTCATCGCGGATGTGCCGGCTGGCTGCTGACCCTCTCGGGTGCTACCAAATCTCCTGCGTCTTTAAAATCAAAGCAATTAAATGTGCCTATAAAAACTGTCAGATCTGAACTGTCAAGAGCTGTTATTTACAGTTTTGGAGGGCAGACTGATGTTGGTTTGTTTCGAGACTTCTGTTCGGGAGAC